ACTGTATTCGACCCGACCAGATGGACACGAGCCACTGGCGTCGGGGCTTTTTCTTGCCTCCAGCGCCTCGCATCGGCTCCTCTCCGACGCCGGTCAACGTAGGCCGAGTAGACGGACAGCGCTTGGCCAGCATCGGTTAGCAACGGTTTGGCGATCGAGTCATGCAGGCCGTTCGCCTGCCAGACGCCCCGGCAACTGGCCACCAGACTGGGCCTGGCCTGCGCCAGGAATATCTCATCTTCGAGTAGATTCACTCGAGTCGCCTGCATTCGAGCCGCGGCCTGTTGGGCTGTGCAGCCGACAGAGTGGTTCTGGTCCTTCAGCCGAAGGTCCAACAGAACCGAAGTCTCATTCTTCGTCCAGTTGATCTCGAGTCGATTGTCGATAGGAAAATCATTGTCGATCGTTGCCTCAAAGTAAAATGAGGACATAAGGCGATTGTTCACCCACAGCACAACCCCCAGAAGGCACACACACAAAATAAGCTTTTTAACATTTCTCATTCGGAAAAGTCGTGCTGTACCATTCATTTTTGCGTCGTCTTGACACATACCAGTCAACCCGTGAAGGGGCTGGAATGAAGAAGAAACGGAAAGTTCACAGCAAACAGCCAGTGCTCACTGTATCTATCATAAAGTTTTGAAGGTGTGGTAGTAACGTCTGCTTATTACACTTTTCTGCATTGGTAAGCCTGACGCAGGGTAGCCACACAGTTGAGCTTCATCTTGCTGTGGCCAGACGCCCTACCCTTTATCTCTTTATTGGAGAAACGAAGGAAACAATATGGTACATAAGCAAACAGCCTATTGATTGAGACTACAGTATTGATCAGACTGCATGGAGTGCCATCATGGCGTACTTCAAGAAACTGCACATTCCTCGTCGTACCTACAACTATACACACCATGCTTCTGTCAAACCACCCGGTTTTCTATCACTAGGATGGATATTTTGTCACTTTGAAGCCGAAACACTCCTAGCCAATCAACTCATACTATTTGACTGGCAGTTTCTGGTGCTCATGGCCCTTCACAAGTGAGCAGTACGAGCTTCACAAGAGAGTGCCACTCTTTAAGTCAGACGGCAGGTGATCCAAAACGGCTACTTCAAGTCCAGCACCATATCGATCTTGACATGTCTCAAAATATGGATGCAAAGGCTCTGCTAGTTTAGACTGTCCGCTTATTTCTGTTAGGGGGAACTTCAGTTCGAATGAAAGTACATGATGAAGAGATTCGTTTGTCGTTCTCACCAGCTGAGGACGGATGAAAATCGTT